AGCTATGGTATCCTGTGGTTTTATTCTATTCGTAAGTCACTGGATCTCATATTTTGGCTACTACGAAAATAGAATATTGCTGATCCCTAAACAGATCATAGTATAATTTGGTGATCTGGTCTGGGATTGTAACAAATATCTATGTATTAATGTCCCATTGATGTACATGCTAATAAAAACCAAGAAGGTATAGATGTGATTATCAAATCGATAGCTTTCTCTTTGGGATACTTGTGTCCTTGCCTATGAACTTGAGAGCTAAATTTGACACTGTGGTCACTGGGGGAGGTAAATAAAGATCTCAAGGCAGACATCCCTTCTGATCATGTGACAAGATCACTTGAAAGTCAATAACATGTGACATGGTTTTCAGATGCCAGTATGCATGTGCAAATGTTATTTGTTTTATGTGAAGTAACTATCATGTGGAAATGCATAGTGAAAAGCACTGAAGAATGGGTCTTGGAAATATGAAACTGATTTTCAAACAACATGACATGAAATGCTAATGTGGCCCCTTGAACCGGACAACATTTTCAGATCATCAAGGCACAGTCACACACTCCACACAGAACATGACTTTAAATCAATCAGAATAGAATTAAACACACAGGTAAGGTCAAGGAATAGAGTTAAAGTAAAATAGATTAGTAATTGAATTCTAAGAATTATCCACAAAGGACTGAGGCAAGGGATACCAGACTGACATGACTGATGTAAGAATAGAGACTGGATCAGTTTGGACTATATTCACTGGAATTTATAAGAATGAAGGGGAATCTAATATAAATCTATACAAGTCTAACAGGACTATACAGGGTAAATGCAGGATGTTCCTGATGACTAGGAAGTCCAGAACAAGGGGTCACAGTCTAAGGACACGGCCTAGGCCATTTAGGACTGAGATGAAGAGAAGGTGAGTCTGTGGGATTCTTCGCCACAGATAGCAGTTGAGGCCAAACATATTTAACATTTTCAAGAGATAGATATAGTTCTTAGGGCTAAAGGGATCAAAAGGTGTGGGGCGAAAGCAGGAACAGGGTACTGTGTTGGATGATCAGTTATATTTAAAGGCGGAGCAGACTTGAAGGCCGAAGTGTCCTATCCTGTTCCTATTTTCTATGTTTTAATGAATGCTATAGAATGTTAAGGTTTACTGATAATATATCAAGCTGTAGCAACAACACTGCTTTAAAAAGGATATTATTGGGTAAGGAGAACTGTAGCTGGGGACTATCATTACAGATGGATAGTAATTATGGGCCACTTCGTATTTAATTTTTTTGGATTAACAAGAAATTACAGGGATTAAGGACAAATTGCACATTTCCATTACCCTCAGTCTCTAAAAGTAGTGGAGGGAGTAAACAGAACCTCAAAACTGTTGAAAAAGCTACCTAGATCACTCCACTCAATTGTCAAAATTGTATCTTGGAAATGTCACAAGTGACTATCAGAAAGGGTGAAGGATTGAGAATAAGGTATGAATGCTCTGATATGCCTGGCCCAAGACAGCCTTCGTTATTCCAGCTTTCAAAAAGGACTGGAATGGGAGAATGTGGGAATGGATCAGTATTCATAAACATTATACAATTGGCTGCAATATTTCCCATTTAGGAGAGAGCAGAAATAGCTTAGATTTGTTGAAGTTTTGTAAAAGACACTAAGGAATTGTAGCATGTTAAAGTGAGCGAGGAAAATGAGAACAGCTCAACAACTGCAAGTTCCTCTTCAGCTTTGAGCAGATGAAGTATACACTTGCATGGGGCGGGCAGAAGTTATCTGGATTCATGCTCTTTATTACAGAGAATGGTGTCAATCCCTCTGATTATTCACAGTGAACAGCTAGCATGACATAGTCAGTCACAATATCTCTTCTCCCATTACTCATTGTAACCTATCTCTCTGAACTTGTTACACTCCGTTCCCTCAAGGCCAACCCTTAGTGTTATCAAACTTGGAATGACAGGGGTGTGCTGTTGTTGATTATTTACCAACTTCCAACCAAGTTGGTAAATAATCTTGCAGGGACTGAGCACCAACTTTCCAAAGATTCCTTTTATCAAAACCTGGACCATGATCTCACCATGAAATATCAAGCTATTGTTTCCAGCACTGTTAGCTCTTGATCTCCTCCAGAGATTGTCCCTCCACAATATAATGCCTGAGTCTTCATCTCAGAACAGCCCACCTACCTCCTCTTCAAAATCTGCAAACCAGACTATCCTTCTAGAAGGCCAGGCAGCAGCAGAGGAGTAGGAAAATTGACATTTCGGGTCGGGACCGTTCTTCAGAAATGGGGGAGGGGGAAGGGAGCTCAGAAATAAATAGAGAGGAGGGGTGAGGCTGGGGAAGGTATCCCTCAGCCCCAGCTCCACCCCTCCTCCCTCTATTTATTTCTGAAGACTCAGACACTGTGTTATCTCTGACTCCAGCATTGGCAGTTCTTACTATCTCTGTCCTTCCAGAAGCACTGATTAATTCTGTTTCCTGCTCCACTGAACTCATTTCTTTCTACCTTGACTCTACTAAGGTCTCTCCCCACCTGTACCCTCGATTCTTCTCAATGCTCTACAGCATTTTAACAACTTCCAGCTTCATAGTGCTAACCACCTCCACATCACAATGGACATTCAAACTAGTGACACTTCTTTCCCCACCAGATCAGACTTAAGATGCTTCTCCGTTGAACGGAAGCATGGTGATCAACTATCCTGATTTTATGAGATATTTGAGGCAGTTGTCTGGATTAACTGCAGCCAGGGGCACAGTTGGTCCCATATTTCAGCCTTTTAGCACATGAATAATTTGTGATGTGTAATATATGAGATCCTCCTGGCAGCCTATTCCCGAAGTCGAGCCACATCCCCGCACAGCTCTTAAACTTCAATAGCAAAAAACCCCCATGCACCACACATATCCACTTCCGGTTTTCCAAGTTTACCAAACATTTCCCATCCACCACCTTCCTCCTCTGCCTGGCTAAACCTGTTCTCATATGGCATAACTTCTTTAACATATTTCACTTTCTCTAATGAAGAGGTCTTGCATGGGGCCTAGCTAATCTGGCTTTTAGTAGGATATACGAAGCTTTTTTTGATGAAGTCCTACTCAGGTCCCCTTCCTCTATCCCTTTGGCAGTATGTCTATTACTGTTTCTGCTCTCATCTGGAACTCAAAAACTTAATAAATTTTAATCATCATAGAATCCCTAGTGTGGAAACAGGCCCTTTGGCCCAACAAGTTCACACCGAAACACGGAGCATCCTACCCAGACCCACCTCCCTATAACCCACCTAATCTACACATCCCTGAACACTATGGGCAATTTAACATGGCCAATCTACTTACCCTGCACATCTTTGGACTGTGGGAGGAAACCGGAGCAACCAGAGGAAATCCACGCAGACACGGAATGAATGTGCAAACTCCACACAGACAGTCGCCCGAGGGTAGGGTGGAAGGAGATGGAGCAGATACTTTGCTAAGAACAGATCATTCAGCACAGAAAGATCAGAGGGTATTGTGAATATAATGCAAGAGGTGAGCTTGGATGAAGGAATGGTCTCAAGACACCAGTGAAAGGAAGAATGATCTCGAGGGATACTGGCATCCATGAGTTCTTGGAGCTCAAAACAATGGATGGAATGAAACTGTGGAACACATCAGATTTGAGATACAGTGAATCTGTGTTACTGGACACAGAGATTGTATGAAACCGTATAAGTGACAATACATGGCAATTTCAGGATATGTTGAGATAAATATTGGATTTTACCGTATTCATGGGTGGATTCCAAACAAGATGGAATTTCAGGAACAAAAACAGAAGTTGCTAGAAAAACACAGCAGGTCTGGCAGCATGTGTGAAGAAAAAAAATCAGAGAACTGAGGAGGGGTCACGGACCCGAAACGTTAACTGATTTTTCTTTCTTCACAGATGCTGCCAGACCTGCTGGGCTTTTCCAGCAACTTCTGTTTTTGTTCCTGATTTACAGTATCTGCAGTTCTCTCGGTTTTTACTAAGATGGAACTTCAGTTGGAATCAAATGTGGAATAAGCTAGAGTTGGAGGTGGTTACCAAGAAAGGAGATGTGAAAGCGAGTTGGTTGCTACTTTATCAAGGAAAGAAATGAGAAAGCAATGAAGATAAAGTAAAGGAGACAAATGGAGGTCTCATCTGCGAGACAAACAGAATTTATTGAAGGTAAGTATTTCTGGAGAAGAAGTGGCAGCAAATTAAACATTATACCAAAAGCAAAATACTGTGGATGCCAGAAATCTGAAATAAAAATTGAAAATGCTGGAAATATTCTGTAGATCTGACAGCATCTGTGGAAAGAACAATTTAAAAGCAATCCCCTTGGGCACAGTGGAGCAGAGTGAGCAAGGGTAATGAAAATATTCCATTAGCTGGGGACTGGCGATTTAGGCTAAGGTGTAAACTGGAGATGATTCCTTATATAAGTAATAAAATTGAAAGTTAGATAGCCAACAATACTCTAAATCAGAACTGTGAATGTTGGTGATGTGAAACACAAAAAAAATTGCTGGAGAAACTCAGCAGGTCTGGCAGCATCTGTGGAGAGAAAAAAAACAGAGCTAACACTGAGTCCTTCCGAAACATGTCTGTTTTTTGTTTATCCTTCTTCAGAACTCAGTTCAGTGAGATGTAGTCTATAACCTTAACTCCTACTTGTGACCAGGGTATACACTGACATTCTCACTCCTGTCAGCTTTCCAGTGTTGTCCCAACTTTTCCTTTGTCCTTTCGTGGGAACGACATTAAAACCAACACCTGCTGCCCACCATTGATTGTCCTTGAGCTTAAAACATAAAAACTTTCGGTTCCACCAATGGTTGACATCTGAAGTGGGGAGGGGGCTTAGCTCTACCTTCATTGATGAACCTTTTCAGAACAACTCCATCACCTTCATGAGCTCCTCCTGTACGCGTTAGTTTGGGGGGGGAGGGGCTCCTGTAGTAAGCACCTTGCTGATTGGTGGCTGACAGCGGCCAATGGTGTCTGACTTTGTTGGGAAGTGCAGTCGGCGGGTTTGAAGATGGCGGCGGCGTTGGTGATGCTTATGTCGAGGAGTCGCTCAGTCTCACTGGGTCGATTGAGGGTGACAGATCTGTGTGCAGCTGCACGGCCTTTCTCCGGCCTCAGGGTTCACTGCCCCACGTTTCAGTTGTCCGATACCCAGCGGCGGCATGGCCCCGGAGGGCCCTGGCTTATCGATAGTTGCAAAAGCCCACAGGTAGAGTTAGTCAGTCAGTCAGTCAGTCAGTCAGTGAATGAGTGAGTGAGTGAGTATCGCGAGTATCGCCGGAGGGGTCACTCGGTATGATTGTAACATAGCCACCATCTGTCTACAGGACTAGTGCCAGAAGACTGGAGGATAGCAAATGTTGTTCACTTGTTCAAGAAGGGGAGTAGAGACAACCCTGGTAATTATAGACCAGTGAGCCTTACTTCGGTTGTGGGTGAAGTGTTGGAAAGGACTATAAGAGATAGGATTTATAATCATCTAGAAAGGAATAACTTGATTAGGGATAGTCAACACGGTTTTGTGAAGGGGAGGTCGTGCCTCACAAACCTTTTTGAGTTCTTCGAGAAGGTGACCAAACAGGTGGATGAGGGTAAAGAGGTTGATGTGGTGTATATGGATTTCAGTAAAGTGTTTGATAAGGTTCCCCATGGTAGGCTATTGCAGAAAATACGGAGGCATGGGATTGAGGGTGATTTAGTGGTTTGGATCAGAAATTGGCTAGCTGTAAGAAGACAGAGGGTGGTGGTTGATGGGAAATGTTCATCCTGGAGTTCAGTTACTAGTGGTGTACCGCAAGGATCTGTTTTGGGGCCACTGCTGTTTGTCATTTTTATAAATGACCTGGATGAGGGCGTAGAAGGATGGGTTAGTAAATTTGCGGATGACACCAAAGTCGGTGGAGTTGTGGATAGTGCGGAAGGATGTTGCAGGTTACAGAGGGACATAGATAAGCTGCAGAGCTGGGCTGAGAGGTGGCAAATGGAGTTTAATGCGGAAAAGTGTGAGGTGATTCACTTTGGAATGAGTAACAGGAATACAGAGTACTGGGCTAATGGTAAGATTCTTGGTAGTGTGGATGAGCAGAAAGATCTCGGTGTCCATGTGCATAGATCACTGAAAGTTGCCACCGAGGTTGATAGCGTTGTTAAGAAGGCATACAGTATGTTAGGTTTTATTGGTAGAGGGATTGAGTTTCGGAGCCATGAGGTCATGTTGCAGCTGTACAAAACTCTGGTGCGGCCGCACTTGGAGTATTGCGTACAGTTCTGGTCGCCGCGTTATAGGAAAGATGTGGAAGCATTGGAAAGGGTGCAGAGGAGATTTACCAGGATGTTGCCTGGTATGGAGGGAAGGTCTTATGAGGAAAGGCTGAGGGTCTTGAGGCTGTTTTCGTTAGAGAGAAGAAGGTTAAGAGGTGACTTGATAGAGACATACAAGATGATCAGAGGATTAGATAGGGTGGACAGTGGGAGCCTTTTTCCTCGGATGGTGATGGCTAGCACGAGGGGACATAGCTTTAAATTGAGGGGTGATAGATATAGGACAGATGTCAGAGGTAGGTTCTTTACTCAGAGAGTAGTAAGGGCGTGGAATGCCCTGCCTGCAAAAATAGTAGACTCGCCCACTTTAAGGGCATTTAAATGGTCATTGGATAAACATATGGATGATAATGGAATAGTTTAGGTTAGATGGGCTTCAGATTGGTTTCATAGGTCGGCGCAACATCGAGGGCCGAAGGGCCTGTACTGCGCTGTAATGTTCTATGTTCTATGTTCTATGTTCTGCTTCACAACAGCCATCTGGTCGGCAGCGACTCCGAGCCCCAAGGAAGGAAACATAGAAGAAAGGGGCAGGAGTAGGCTATTCGACTCCTCGAGGCAGCTCCGCTATTCAGTATGATCATCCAGCTCAGCACCTTAATCCCGCTCTCCCCATATCCCTTCACTTCGCCCCCCTCCCCCAATCATCCCTTGATCTAGCTTCTCCCCCTCACCCTCACCCTGTGCCCCTTGATTCACATGTCCCCGCATCCTTTGAGCAAAGTCCAGTACAGCAGAAGAACTGGACCTTCGGCCGTCCTATCCCGTGCCACCACATTTTGACCTTTGCGTACAGGATCCGTATCCCTGTATTCCCTTCCCTTGATTCCTTTAGCCACGTGCTATATCTACCTCTTTCTTGTAAACAGTGTTTTGACCTCAGTCGCTTTCTGTGGCAATAAATTCCACAGGCTCACCACTCTAATGGGTGAAGAAATTTAACCTAGAACATTACAGTACAGGAACAGGCCCTTCAGCCTACTGTATCTGCACTGACCGTGATGCCGTTCTAAACAAATCCCATCTGCCTGCCGGTGATCTGTATCTGTCTGAGCCCTGCTTGTTCATGTGCCTGTCTAAACGCCTCTTAAGTGTTGTTATTGCATCTGCTTCTACCACCTCACCTGACTGCATTTCAGGCATCAACCACTCTCTGTGTTTGCGTAGAAACGTAGAAGATAGGAGCAGGAGGAGGCAGTATGGCTCTTCGAGCCTGCTCCGCCATTCTTCACAATCATGGGTGATTGTCCAACTCAATAGCCTAATCCTGCTTTCTCCCCATAAGCTTTGATCCCATTTGCCCCACGTGCTGTATCTAGTCGCCTCTTGAATACATTCAATGTTTTGGCATCAACGACTTCCTGTGGCGATGAATTCCACAGGCTCACAATCCTTTGGGTGAAGAAATGTCTCCTCCTCTCTGTCCTAAATTGTCTACCCTGAGTGGGCATACTGTGACCCCTAGTTCTGGACACACCCACCATTGGGAGCATCCTCCCTGCTTCTACCTTGTCCAGTCCTGTTAAAATTTTATAAGTCTCTGAGATCACCCCCTCATTTGTCTGAACTCTAGCGAAAACAATCCCAACCTAGTCAATCTCTCCTCATACCTGTCAGACCCGCGATCCCCTGGGGGAAAAAAAACACTTGCCTTGCCCAGCCTCTTTAAATTTTCCCCTTCTCACTCTAAACCTATGCCCTGTAGTATTTGATATTTCCACCCTGGGAAAAGGACTGACTATCCAGGCCTCTCCCAATTTATATACTTCTATCACATCGCCCTCAGGCTCCTATGCTCTTGTGAAAACCATCCAGCTTGCTTTATAGCTAACAGAATCCGGTCCAGGCAACATCCTGGTAAACTTCTTTTGCACCCTCTCCAAAGCCTCCACGTTCCTCCTATATTGTGGCGACTGGACTGCACACAATGCTCCAAACGTAGCCTTGTTCAGCTGGAACATGGCTTGCTACTATTATACTTGATGCCTTGACTGACGAAGGCAAGCATGCTGTACATAATCCCAAGTCCTAAAACCTTTACCCCTTATCCTTAAACTATGAATCCCACTTCTGGACTCCCCCACGATCAGGAACATCCTTCCTGCATCTAACCTATGTATACCTATTGGAATTTCATAGGTATCCAAAGGTGGAATATTGCATTGTGATAATAGAGTCCTAGCACAGCAGAGGCATACATGGGTAATAAATATATTCCTGGATCTTCTATCGGAAAGATAGGGAATGGAGAAAGGGAAGGTTAACAAAATTTATTTTGCAACATGTTATAATGCTGTTGTGACTGGATGTTCAAGAGATCAAGGAGAATCTGTTTGTTTAGAGCTTGGAGACAACTGAGCTGCCATTACATTTTTGGATGTCAATAGACCACCAGCTGGTAGAATAGATAGACAAGAACAAATTCACTAACAAATTACTGATCGTTACAAGTATTATAGAATGGATGACTTTATTTATTCCACTATATACTGGCCAATAATAGAGTGAGGGGCATGAGTTTCTAGAGTGTATTTGGGATAATTTTCTACATTGCTATGTCTAGACCACTGAGGATGGAGACATTGCTGGATCTGATTTTATGGAGTTATGTCAAAAGGATAAAAAGTCAGAAGGAAATATTTAGGGAATAGTAGTGACCATTAAGTTTAAGTTAGCTATGGAAGAGTACAAGTAGTGATTCACACCATCCCTCTTGTCAGGTTGTTGACTTGCTCACCGAGCTGGCTTGTTCTCGTTCAGACGTTTCATCACCATGCTAGGTGAAATCATCTGTGGAGCCTCTGATGCAGCAGTGTTATTCTACTCCGCTTGTAATTTATACTGCTTGGTGCGTTATGGTGAGTAGTGTCATTTCCGATTTTGATCTGTATGGGTTTGTAAATGGGGTCCAATTCTGTGTATTTGTTGATTGCATTACGGGTGGAGAAGCATGCCTCTAGGAATTCCCGTGCGTGTCTATGTTTGGCTTGGGCTACTACGCTCACCTTGTCCCAGTTAAACTGAAGGCCTTCGTTGTCTGAGCGTACCGATATTAAGGAGAGTTCGTCATCTCCTTAATATCGGTACACTCAGACAACGAAGGCCTTCAGTTTAACTGGGACAAGGTGAGCGTAGTAGCCCAAGCCAAACATAGACACGCACGGGAATTCCTAGAGGCATGGTTCTCCACCCGTAATGCAATCAACAAATTCACAGAATTGGACCCCATTTACAAACCCATACAGATCGAAACCGGAAATGACACTACTCCCCATAACGCACCAAGCAGTATAAATTCCAAGCAGAATAGAATAATACCGCTTCATCGGAGGCTCCACTGATGATATCACCTAAGATGGTGATGAAATGTCTGAACGAGAATAAGCCAGCTCGGCTTCAACAAGTCAACAACGTCACCCACAACCCCAGCTACAGATCTTTGCCAAAAATTTGAATCCCTCTTGTCACTTTAATTTCTCCTGTTTTTCATGTTCTTGCAGACCTCCTATGTTATCAGCATCTGTACAAGTGATGCTAGCTGAAATTGCAGAAGATGCGTACTGACATATTTCAATATCCTTTAAATACTTCTTAAGTGGAAATTTTTTTCTAAACTGTATTGGTGCCTCTAGTAAGACTCTTAAAATGTTCCTAGTGCTTAAAAAAATTTTGATACAGAGCAGGAGAGACTGGGATTAGACATTTCTCAAAATTAGTGCTACTGCAGGAGCTGAAAGGGGGCATAGACATTTTGCTCAAAGATTGAGGCCATAAGATCTACTATGCAGAAAATGAATATATTACTACTTGTTGAAACTGAAAATACTTGCTGATGGGGAGAGGTATGTCTTTAACAAAGAAAACTATTCCCTTGAGGGAAGATGCTGATGTCGTCCTAATGTCGCTGGTTTAGTAATCCCAAAACCCAATCTAAAACCTGCGCTAGAGACAGATTGAAAGCCCACCATAGTGGCCAGTGGAATTTGAATTCATTTAATCAATCCGAAATTGATTATCGATTGATTGTCATAAAAGCCAATCTAGCTCACTCGTGTCCTTTAGAGAGGAAAATCTGCTCTACTTTTGTCCAATTATGTTACTTCAGACCCACAGCAATGTGATTGACTCTTAACAGCTCTCTGATATGGCCTAACAAACAATGCAGTTCAAGGACATATCAGGATGGAGAATTGATGCTGATCTTACAGTAATTCCCATGTCCCAAGAAACAAAAGACAAATAAAAATATGTTTCTCTGCAAAATGAGAAACAGCAATGAAGCTGGTGACGTGCTCATACTTATAATATCTGACTTCCTTTATTGAAATTCGTTTATTACCAAATCCAATTATCCAGTTTTGTACAAATACTACAAGCACTTTTCTTGTGTGTGCAGATTTACTTTGCACTCGGTCAACCTATTCGCCACTTTTGCTCAGATGGCAACAACTTGGAAGGACGGTTGATTTACAGTGGAAACTTGGCCAGAGTAGTACTTGGTAAAAAATTAAATTTTTTAAAATTTTAGCATTATTTCTAAATTTTAAAGCTGATAATGAAATTAACTCTTTTTTTCTTGTGTCAATTATCTTTCTATTTATAGGGGTGAAATTCTTCTCCTACTCCACCAGCGTTTTCAGTTTGTGTATGATGCCTTATGTTCTCCTCCATTCTGGTCTGGCAGTTCAGAGTCCTGCATTACAAATGGCTTTCTGCGGCATAATGGGATTCTTTACTTTTTTAAGTCCGATGGTATTACACCTCCTCACCAAAGGTTATGTGGTCCACCTATATCACGATGCAAAAACTGACACTTACACAGCTGTCACTTACAGTGTTTTCCTCCAGCAGAAGAAAACTGTTTTCCATCAAAAGGACGTGAAAGTTCCAGGAGTCAGCAAAATGTTCACCACGTTTTATGCAAACAAAATGTCATTGCTAGTAAATCCAGTTCTTTTCTGGCATCCAAATGACTACAGTCACCTAATGGGTTACGATCAGCCCTTCTCTTTTAATTTGGATGAACTAAAAAAGTAATGATGAAAAGGAAATTAACTTTGGCAAGGCGATATCACTTTTACAACTGTTTCCTCCATCATTGTAGTTGACAGTGAGCTACGTGCAAGTTTTAATTTTATACGCTTAGATTGAATATGAACGCTGTGTTTAAAACAAGGAAAACGTGCTGCAGATACTGGAAATTGAAGTAAAAACAGAACATTTTGTGTTCATTCAGTAGATCAGGCAGCATCTATTCTTTATAAATGTTAAATTGACATTTCAAGTTTATGTCTCTTCATCTAGATCCTTGCTGAGGACAGATCTGGTGTCTGAGCTGTTGTGTACATCATGATTTGATTCTGGTTTTATTTCTGTTGTGTACTATTACAGTATGCATCACTTACAATAGTTCTAGGTTTTGTTTCTTGTATAACCTCCACACATTTTACCCTGTCTAATAAGAAGTTTGTGGTTATTGAGAACTGACTTGTGCTTTCTGTTTAATTTTCATGTTCTCCTGTTAAACAGGAAATAGCTGTGATCGAGAGGATAATTATCGAAATTGCCCCCTGGCCTCTACCATTATTGCTTTGAACTAATTGCTGGAGAGTCGTGGAGCTGTTTTGTTTTAAAGAAAAAGTTTCTCCCTAATGCGCAGATTATTTGGCTGAGTAGAGTGCAGAATTAAAACAAAGCATAGGTTGCTAGTGACTGAGATTTAAGCATCTGACTTTTATTAAAAGTTTATTATTTGGTAGGAGCTGTCCCTTTCTGATGATGACCCTCGATCTTCTATCCCTTGCTTTTGTGAGGAATGCCTGGTTGATCACAGGAAGGTAATGACAGAGGATCAGGTCGTTTTTACTACTGCCATGCTGCATCACTTCATCTTGGAGAATTTTCCACAGGTGAGAGCTTCACATTTGTAACCAAAATGGCATTCTAATTTGCTGATCAATGAGACACTGGGAAATTACTGTTTATTGCATCAAAAAAAAAACTAGACAAAAGCAAAATACTGTGTTAGAAATCTGAAATGAGAACAAAAAATGCTGGAAAAGCTCAAAAGACAGCATCTGTGGACAGAAACAGAAAATTGCTTAAGATAGTTCCCTCTGTTCTGATGAAAAGAAACATTTGTTTACTTTTGAAAACTGGTGATGTTTTATTTTTATTTCTAAAATATTGTGTTCATCCAGTTTCATTTTCTGTAAAATATTGGCATGATTGATGTAAGAACTGTGTAGATGAAAAAGAGAATAGCATCTGGTTCTATTGCACAGGAATTCTCTTCAATTATATTTTCTAAAGGTTATTAAAAAGCGAGAATGGCAACTCGGCTTTCTTTTTTCTTAATTCTGCTGAGAAATATGTACGAACCGTTTCTCGTTTCAATTTGTGAGAATCAACAGATATTTGACACTAAGGCAATTTGCTATGGTGTCAGCAAATTAGAGACTTGTCACACTTGTAATAAAAGCTGATATGCAACGATGTGAAAATAAAACCGGTTTCGTTATTGGGTAACAGAATTACTTGCGTTAATACAGGACTAGTTACAACATTTGATATTACAAAGTGCTTTACAGTTAGTTAGGTTGTTATGAAACATAGTCAGTATTGTAAAGTACAGAATTGTGGCAGCCAGTTTGCACACAACAAGCTTCCACAAACAAATATGATGACCGTATTTTTAAAAACTAATTTGCGTATAAAATTGCAGCTTAATTCTGTTTCCTTGCATTAGAAATCTAGCTTTTCTTATTAAAAAAAATGCATGAATGTTTGAAAAGTAACCTGAATATGGATTGTCATTGTGTGGAGAGCAGGTTTTACGTAAGTTTCTTCTGGAATGTTATATGTGGTCCAGAACCTATTCTAAATGTTGCAATTAATTAAAAATGACTTAACTAGATGGCACATTTGCTAACCAAATAATTTTTCACTGTGTTTTAATTTTAGTGGAATAGAGTGAAGGCAATTGGAAATGACTGATTTATTATGAGGAGTAACTATAGTTGGCAGCATTAATACTTAAAATCCTTTAAGAACTTCTTTAATATTCCCCTTCTCTCTTTCCTTCATTGCTGATTCTCCAAGCTTTTGTGGTAGTCAAGGACATGTAGTTTCTCCTAAGACCAGGCTAGTTACAGTGGTTAAAATGGATTTGTGATAGTTTTATATCTTCCATCCAAATGGGGAAAGTGCATGGCTTCCTGCATTGTATTCTGCATTGTAACTCAGCTTTGTACTTCTTTTTCTGACTTTCTTGGCATTTTTAAAGAAATACATTTTCTGTGTAAGTAACCACTAGCTTTGGGCCAGGGATGTTTTAAGTCGTTTCTCTAATTTGTGAGCATTTGATGGAGAATTGAAAGAAGCACAGTTGTTGTGTTCTGTTGATGTATCATGAGCAGAATAATTAGCTTCTGTGGTGGGGTGCAGATGTAGGCTGTCTTGCACTTCCAATTGCCATTTCCATATTGAAAACTTCATGTAGGATTATTATTACAAAATCCTCATGTTATTGGTTATATTTATCAAATCCCAGAATCCTTGACCCTAAACACAGCTGCCTTTGTTGAGTAATATTTCCGAATAAACATGTATAAGATTTAATGTGAATTTGAATCTTGAATTGCAAAAGCCAATTTACAACATTTACAGGTTATTTACAGCAACACCTGAGTCACACAATAAACACTGAATAATTAAGGTTTTAGATCGATTCTTTGTCAGAACAATATTGTAGGAGTTATGGAAACACGATATTTTCTTGTTTGTTTTCTGTTATGGGATGTGAACTTGGTAGACTTTATGTGGTGCTGTTCGAGGTTGATAGTTTTTGAATGTTTTCTTTAACTTGGCTAATTATCATTAATGTGCTAAATCGAGATCTTGGTAATGAAGCTAAATACTGAAATGTTTATCCTGTTGTTAAATATGAATGATTCTATGGTGTTCCAATTTTAGTATTTTATTTGAAGTATTTTAAACTATATTGCCGCTATGTGGTGAATATACCCTTTAACTGGTTCCAAGAACATAAATAGATGCTGTTGAAGGCTAATTGGAGCTTTAAACCAACTCTGCCATTCATTCATTGCATGGGCAATCTCTGTCTTGTCGCCACCTTCCCTATACCTTTTAATTCCTTTAGTATCAAAATTCTGTCCAGTTTTATCTTGAATATCCTGAATGATTCTTAACGAAGAGTTGAACTATTAAATTGCAGACCATTTTAGTTTAGACAATTGCTTCTTTATAACTTGGCACAATGTTGATTTATTGAACCTGACTAGTGATGCTCAGTATGATGACCATCTACAGTGTTAACTTTATACACTTCATTGGACTTTCTTACTAATTTTGTTATATAAATGAGTAAAGCTAATAAGAATGTGGACCTAAAAGCCTTGATACTTCAGCTTTTTTTAAAGAATCAGCTGCATTAGTTATGAATTCAATTTAGTACTAAACATTCGGATAATTGATGGTATTTCAGTATCTAAATGTTCAATTTAAAAATCTTCAACATTTTAGACTTACACGAAATAAAAAATGAACTTTTCAATAAAATTGATATTCCATTGTGTTGTATAGTTTCTGTTTTCTTAACCCAACATAACTGTACTTAATGTGAAAGTTATTGGTCTTATAAAAGCCATTGATTTTTGTAAAGTATAAGTAATCTTTGTACATAACAACTAGTGAACCAATTGTAATTAATTTATATATTTGTTTAGTAGTACTATAGATTAAAAGCATGTATTTAAATTTAATAATTATATACTGTACACTATATGCCACTTTCAAATACACCTATTTTAACTGATCCACATTATTGAACACCTTCATGTGATGCTCTGCTATTTATGATCCTGCCTGATTGAACATTTCATTGTGTTTTATTCACATTATCCCCATAATTCTTTCTGCTATTAATTATCAATACCTAAACAAACTTGAAGACTCAGTTTCCACAGCCCTCTCGGATAGAGAATTCTAAAGATTCACAAGTCCAAGTTAAAAAAGCAAAAACACCTTGGCCTTAAATGGCATTCCCCTAATTTTTAAATTGTGTCCCTGGTTCCGTTTACCTACATCTATCCCTTTTAAGTATTTTGTAAGTTTCAATGAGATTACTTTTTATTCTACAAGACTTCAGAGAATACAGGCCCAGTTTGCCCAAATTGTCGTCTTAGAATCATTCTGCCATCCTGGGAACAAGTCTGGCGAGCCTTTGGTGCATTCCTGGAAGGTTACTACCAATGCATCCTCTATCCCTATTAGTAACTTTGTTCAATATAGTGGGATGCATCCTATCAAGTCCGGTGCAGTTATGGTATTTAGTTCCTAGTGATAGTTATTGTGTTTATTTCCTCTACTCCTTTTGCACATTTATTTAGTACTTTTGGAATGTTCTTACTGTCTTCTACTGTGAAGACTAATGCAAGATGTTTATTTAACTCCTGTCATTCGTTGGTTCTCCATTATTATTTCCCCAGTCTCATTCTCTAAGGCTTCACTTGGTTTTTCTCTTCCTTTATGTATATTTAAAGAGGCTCTTGCAGTTTGTCTTGATATTGCGAGTTTATCCTCAGTTTATTTTCCCTTTTTTGGTTTTGAAGAACTTCCCCAGTTTTCTGGCTTACTGCTACCCTTTGCCACACCCGATGTTTGTTTTTAATTTAATCTGATGCTATCCTTAATTTTGTGGTTGTCCATGATTGGCTTATCCCCTTCTTAGAATCCTGTTCTTCTCTGGAGTATGTCTTTGTTGTGAACTGGTCTGCTATTGATCCTCATGTCTGCTGCTAAACTCCTTTTTCAGTCCACTGCAGCCAGTTGTATCCTGAATCTTTTGTAAATACCCTTAGTTAAGCCAAACATAGTTATTTCTGACCCAGGTTTGTCCCCCTCAAGCCGAGTTCTAAATTCTACCTTGTCATAGTCACTGTTTCCTAGAGGGAAACTGACATAATTTATTAAACCTGCCCCATTATCCATCACTGGATCCAAAATAGCTTAATCCCTGATTGGATCCACCACGTTTTGTGCTCGGAAACTGTCCCAAATACATTTTATATGAATTCTTCCTCATGGCTTTTTCCACCAGTCTGACTATGCTAACCTACAAGAAGATTAAAATCACTCATGATTAATGTACTGTGTTTGTTAAATGCCCTCAGTCCTGACTTCTTCCCTGTATTATTACATAGCTACTGTTTGGAGACCTATACGCAACTTCTACCAGAGTTTCCTTTCCAGTTTTATTTCTTGCATCCACCCATATGGTTTCTACATCTTCTAATCAAAGATCATTTATTGCTATCATACTTATTCCGTCCAATACCAATAATCCTACCCCACCACTCTTTCCTTCCTGCCTATCCTTTCAAAAAGTCACCTACCTCTGAATATTTTGTCCCCAGCTTTGATCTCCTTGTAACCACGGTCTCTTTATTGTTATAACATTCCTGACTTGTGCCTCATAGATAGTGGACAGGCTTTGGTGAGTCAGAAAGTGAGTTGCATGCTGCAGAATTCCTAGCTTCTTATCTGTTGTTGTATTTATGTGCAAGTCCAGTTCAGTTTCTGGTTAATGGTAACCCTCCCCCAGGCTGTTGATAACGGGGGTTTCAGTAATGGCAAGAGACAATGGTTAGAATCTCTTCTTGGAGATGGTCATTGCCATTTGTGTGGCATGAATGTTACTTGCCATGTTGCTTCTCAAACCTGGATGTTGTGCAGGTCTCGCTGCAATTGAACATGGACAACTTCAGTATCTGAGGAGTCACGATTGATGCTGAACATTGTGCAATCATCAGAAAGCATTTCCGCTTCTGAACTTGGAGGGAAGGTCATTGATGAAGCAGCTGAAGATAGTTGGGCCTTGGAGACTATGCTGAGGAACTCCTGCTAAGATGAGGTGAGTTGACTGGCCTCCAAAAACAACAACCATCTTCCTTTGTGCTAGGAATGATTCCAACCCGCAGAGAGGTTTACCCCTGATTTCCATTGGCTCCAGTTTTGCCCATGCTCTTTATGCCACAGTAGGTCAAATGTAGCCTTGATGTTAAGGGGAGTTACTCTCCCCTCACCTCTGCAATTCAGCTCTTCTCCATTTTGAACCAATGTAATGACCGGAGCTGCATGCCCTTGGCAAAGCCCAAACAGGGCGCCAGTGAGCAGGTTATTGTGAAGCAAATGCTGTTGATAGCATTGTTAACTACACTTTCCATTACTGTACTGATGATGAAGAGTAGAATGATGGAGAGGTAATTGGTGGCATTGCGTTTTCCTGTTTTTTGTGCAGGATATGCCTGGCAATTTTCCACATTGTTGGGTAGATGTTAACATTGAGCTCCTACTTCTGGTCGCCATGAAGCCATTTTTCTGTAAAGGCAATTATAGCATAAATATTTATCTCTATTTGTGCCTTCAAATCATCTTCTTTTGCCAAAGTGTGCATTTAGCTATAGTGCACTTAACTTTGTCTTTTTGACATCATTCCACATTTGAGGCATACTCGATACTTGGCTTTGTTTCTCCTTAGCAGCTTTTCTACTCGGTTACCAACTTTACTTGCTTTCAATTTGGGTTGTCATTTGGGTCCTCATCCCCTTGACAAGCTTATTTAAACCAACCCCACTACCACTAGTAAATCTCCCTACAAGGAAATCAGATCCAGTTCTTTAAAAATGTCACGTATATAGGTCCCATCTGCCCAAGAATGGTTGCAGTGCATCAGAAATTTGATGCTCTTGCTCCAAATCAGTTCTTTAACCATGTGTTCAATTGATCAATCCTCCTGTCCTTATGTTTGCTAGCATGTAGTACTGGGAGTAATTCCGAGATTACTGCTGTTGTAGTCCTGCTTTTAATTTGCATTCTAACTCCCTTAAATTTCCTTTCAGGATTTCATCCCCCTTCCTATCTGTGACATTGATACCAAGGTGGACCACTACTGTTTGCTAGTTCCCCTCCTCCTGAAGGATGTCCTGCAGTCGCTCCATAACATTATTGACCTTGCACCAAGGAAGCAACAAGACACGCTGGAGTCATGTTTACTGCCACAGAAATACCTTTGTGATCCACTGACTGTGGAACCTTCTATCACTATTGCCCTTTCATTCTTCGTTTGCTTTCCCTGTATAGCTGAGACACTCTTGGTACTATAAATTTCAGAGGTTAGAAATCCTGCACCAAGTAACTTACCACCTGATTCCCCAAAGCCTGATCACCACATACAAGGCACAGCTCAGGTGTGTGATGGAATACTCCCCACTTGCCTGGATAATTACAGCTTTAACAATACTCAAGAGACTTGACACCATCCAGGACAAAGCAGCCTGTTTGATTGACACCAAATCCACAAGCATCCACTCCGTCCACGACCTCAGCAGTGTATACCAGCTACATGACGCATTGCTGAAATTCACCAAAGATCCTTAGCAGTTTCCAAACCCACGACCACTTCCGTTGAGAAGGACAAGGGCAATAGTCACATGGGAACACCACCACGTACAAGTTCACCTCCAAGCCACTCACCACCCTGATTTGGAAATATATCACAGTTCCTTCACTGTCACTGGGTCAAAATACTGGAATTCCTTCCCTAAGGTCACTATGGATCAACCCATAGCATATAGACTGCAGTGGTTCAAGGCAGCTTGCCACCACCTTCTCAAGGGCAACTAGCAATGGACAAGAAATGCTGACCCAGCCAGCAACGCCCATATCCAATTAGCGGAGAAAAATAATCGAAACAATACCAGACCAGTTAAAAAAGACAAACCCAGTCAGAAGTGCGGGAATGCTTATTAGGAATTATTTTGCAACCACCACAGTGGTCTGGAATGCTACTTAAAACAGAAACAAACCTGTTGTGTTTGGTCTCTATGGTCAGAAGATGTTGAATGGTAAATATTAAGGTTTGTGAAGTGTCTTTGATTGAAGTACTATTAAATGGATGAGAGTTGGGGGGGAAAAAAAATTCTTCCTATCTTTAAATGCACATGCTATTCTTTTCTCTGAGTGTATGTGAATATATTTTAGTGTGCGTGATACTTGAGAGCATCCCACCCAGACCCACTATTCCTGTAACCCTACATTTCCTATGACTAATCCATTTAGCCTGCACATCCCTGGACCCTATTGGCAATTTAGCATGGCCAATCCACCTAGCCTGCACATCTTTGGATTGTGGGAGGAAACTGGAGCACCTGGAGGAAATCCACACAGACATGGGGAAAACATGCAAACTCCACACACACAAAATCGCCTGAGGCTGAAATTGAACCCGGGTCCCTGGCATTGTGAGGCAGCAGCGCTAACCTTTGAGCCACTGTGCCACCCCTTTTGGAGACACCTGACAATTAATCCAAAATCCTGCAGACTACAGGACCAAGGGAAATAAACTAGCTTTAAAGATTTCACTTACTGGGTAAGAGTCACTTCCAGTGCAACTTTAAAACTAAAATATATTAGCCTAACTGTGGTTGAAGCTCTCGTCATTTTTAAAGTTCTAAACTTTGGTAGTTACAACATGTACACGAGTAGTAGGTATGTGGGGTAGTGCATTATTTCATTGTTGTCTGAAGCAGGTGAGGATATACTTACTATCAATGGGAGATCGCATACAACATGAAGAAAAAATTAGGAATCTCATAGAGGCAGCAGGGCTACCAAAAGATGTTGTAGTATTTAAAGTATACTAGAAGATCAATATCTCAGTTAAGCAAGGACGTGTGAGTGAGTGTAGGGGTGGACAAAGGAAGAAACATAGGTCACTAATAAAACCATTTAACAGCTGATTTGTTTGCTTCAAAGGGAGATCAAGGTGGATCCCAGAAGTGAACCATGATCAACATAGTTTGAAGCATGAGTATTGACACATGGATTGCTTTGAACTACTGGCCACAATGCTACCAACGTAGACCAGCTAGTTTGGAAAGTAATAGAAGACAATGCACTACAGAACCTGACAGATGAACAGTACCACCCTGACCAGACTGTCACAGAGGTCCACAGCACCGATAAAGGCCCTTCAGCCTATTAAGTCTGTGTGGGTCATAAACAAGCACTTAGCTATTCTAATCCCATTTTGTGGAATGGAACTGGAACCAGGTCTGGTGAATGGATTAGTGTTAGTAAGGAAAAAACAGGAAGGCTTTATGTCATAATGTAGCCCGAGCTGGTACCTGTAATATTGATCATATCTGAGGGGGAAAATTGGAAAACTCCAAACAGAAAGACCGTAAAGGCAGAGATAACAAGAGGTTGACTACCCATTGTACCACTCACCAGGAAGTCATCTCCTGCAGTCATGTTTGTATTTTACCATTCCAGGGATGTACAGAAAAAGCAGGGTTAAAAGTTGACTGCACCCCTGGTCTGTATGTATTAGCGGCCTAATATGCTAGTGTGTGATTAGTATGCTGTGACGGTTGCAACCTGGGTATACCCATTATACACCCCTGTACTACAGGTAACAAAGGTAAAGATAGTTTCTCTTTGGTCACTGGCCCTGGTATCTCCTCACATGGCTCCATGTGACACTTTGGTTTGGGAACACTGGTGAGATGTGATTAGCTGCTTGCTGGTATCCCCTACTGTCCTAGCAGGCAATCCCCAAGGTGTACTCAGTGAGAAAAGTAGGGCATGGCTGTTGAAGTTTAGTGGTGTTATAGTACAAAATGAAATGAGAAGGTGCTGGAGGAACTCAGCAGGGCTGGCAGCATCTGTGGATTGAGAAACAGAGTTAACCCATCAATGCCAGCCATCCACCATTGAAAAAGAACCAGGGCAAAAGAATTTAAATCAACCTGCACAGCCAAGAATATCTAAATTGACTGCTGAACCACCAACATCAATGCCGCTGGTACAATCTAATGTAATGGCTGCAACATCCTAATATCTACCCTTCATTAATGGCTGAGAGACTGATAATATATTGTAAAAACATTTATCTTTTTTAACTCACTACTAATTCCTAATACCTGTGTGTGTTGTTATTCATTTATCATGTTTAGTAACTAATAAATTCACTTTTATTAACTCAAGGAAACCTGGTTAAATGGCTCAGTTTGAAAAATAAATTCAATTGATTTTGGAGTAATTATCCTCAAGGAAAGAGATCCTTTTCAAATTAACCTTGTGGTGAGCGAGTAGATGAATAAAGAAGTACAGTCCCTTCATCCCTCCTTATCTGGGAACTGACAATTTGGGGTATCCTGTCTGGGATTGTAACAAATTGGGAAGCCTTGACCCACGGATTGGTCATGACACAGTTAAGAATCAACCATCTTGCTGAGGGTATGGAGTCACATATAGAGCCCAGCAAATAATAGTGGCAGATTTTCATTCCTCAAGGACAATAGTGAACCAAAAGAGTTTTTTTTGGACCATGGTTTCATGGTCATCACTTGTGAGACGAGTTTTTATTTCTCAATTTACTAAATTCTATCCAGCTGTCATGCTGGAATTTGAAACTATGTATACAGACCATTAGCGTAGAACTCTGAATTACTTGTACCCGACTATTCCCAGGCCCCTACCACATCCGTGAGAATGTAATTGGGATTTGCTTAAAGGGTATAGGGTTAGGATTCATGTGAAGGTTTCTGAAAAGGGAAAAAATCGGTTAAAATGAAAGTTTAATAAATCTTAGTATAGCATTTGGAGCAAGTAACATAGCTGAGGAAAAATAGTTGAATTCATCCAGCATTTGAAGGTTGCATAAAGTCAGACATTGGCAGAACAAACAGGATACAAACAGTGGAGAAAGGGTTAGAACATATGGTCATGCCCTAGAGTTAGGCCCAGAACAAATGGCACCTTTGCCATGAGAAAGAAGGTAGATGTGCCATCCTAAGATATTAAGTCATTCTACTGGGGCAATAAACAGATTGGAAGGGCTCCTGTAGCGCAATGGTACTGCCCCTCTCCTTGGACCAGGAGGCCTAGGGCAGCATGGTGGCTCAGTGGTTAGCGCTGCTGCCTCACAGCGCCAGGGACCTGGGTTCCATTCTAGCCTCAGGTGATGTCTGTGTGGAGTTTGCATGTTCTCCCTGTGTCTGCGTGGTTTTCCTCCCACAGTTCAAAGATGTGCAGATTAGGTGGATTAGCCATGCTAAATTGCTCTAAATAGTGTTCAGGGATGTGAGGCTAGGTGGATTAGCGATGGGAAAGTGCAGGGTTGCAGGGATAGAGTAGGGGTGTGGGTGGGATGCTCCTCAGAGGGGTTGTGTGGACTCGATGGGCCGAATGGCCTGCTTCCATACTGTAGGGATTCTATGATAAGTCCCACCTGCTGCAGAGGTGTGTGATAAATTCTCTGAACAGGTTGATTGGAAAATTTAAAAAAAATGCATTAGGCTATTATAAGTAAAGATTATGTTCCCATTAAAACAAAATTAAAGGTGTAGCAGTTGGCAGTCAATTTACTTTGCCCCATCCCCTGACCTGCTTCCTGTATACATGTCCTAATGTTAATTTTATTATTCAAATATCATAGATAGAATTTAACCATGATTGGATGAAATGGGATCACATGTATTATAGGTGATTTGTACATTCAAGTAATGTAACACCCATGTGAAAAGAGAATAAAATCAAAGTTTTGTAACTGCCCTGGGAAACCCATTTCTTTATTCCTGTATAAGAATGAATAAACGCCATTCAAGCTTCCAAGCAACTACATTTGGTTTTATGGGTCAAGCTAAATTAGAGAAACTTCCCCTTTCAGTTTCCCATTTCTAACATTGAAACACTATTATTTAAAGCACATTGAGCGGTTCCACTGTAATTGCTGTTTGTTGTTATTGTTTCACTAGGAAGCTATGTTTATAAAATCTGCCAATTGTGCAATTCATGCAGCTTTCTTTCTTGTTTACCTGCTAAAGAGACCTGGGACTATGTCCTCCTAAAACCAAAATCACCATAGTCTTACCAGACCATAGGACTGCTCTCTCATTAGGGAGAGACAACTTATGGTGGTTTAACCTGACAGTAACCACGCCTCAGGAAAGGGGGGAAGTTGAGAAGGAGTGTCCTTCATGGTAATCTCAGAGGGTTCAGGAATTGAACCTATGCAGTTGGTATCACTCTGCATTGTAAAACAGCTATCCAGCCAACTGAGCATCCTACAAAGCTCTCCACAGTATCACTTCTTTTAAGTGCCCATGATTCACTTATATTCCTCATTAACCCGAAGAGAATTGTAAACACTTGTTTTATTAGCATGACCAGGGAACTGATTTGAAATTGCCCCAAAATACTTAACTACACTTTATTAAGATCAGTCAGCCTTTGCAGTGTTGCAAAGCTGTTCTGTAAAATTTATAAATTTTCCAAAAACGCTAAAGCTTCTCAATCAGGCATAAACACATTTTGATTGTTAAGCAATTCGTGCTGAACCTAAACATTTATATATTCAGTAGATCATTTCCAGATGTATAGCAGGTTACTGCAAGGTTAGGACAGGGGGTCCTAGTGTCAGAATTAAAATTTCTGATAATGTTTAGGAAATGCACAACAGAGACAGTGTAGACTCACTTAAAACTGAAGTTAAGGATTTTTATTTATGAGGAAGAGATGGAAAGATACTTACTGAATATTTTTTATTAGTCTTTAAGGAAAGTAAGACTAGGGTTACTCATGCAATGATTTATACTGGAGATAAAAATTCAAAAGAAAGTGAATTAAAAAGAAAGTGTGGAATAAAATAGAAAATCAGCGGTGTCGTGGACAGTGAAGAAGGTTATCTCAGAGTACAACGGGATCTTGATCAGATGGGCAAATGGGCCGAGGAGTGGCAGATGGAGTTTAATTTAGATAAATGTGAGGTGCTGCATTTTGGAAAGGCAAGTCAGGGCAGGACTTATACACTTAACGGTAAGGTCCTCAGGAGTGTTGCTGAACAAAGAGACCTTGAAGTGCAGGTTCATATTTCCTGAAAAGTGGAGTCGTAGGTAGATAGGATAGGGCATTTGGTATGCTTGCCTTTATTGGTCAGTGCATTGAGTGTAGGAATTGGGAGGTCATGTTGCAGCTGTACAGGACATTGATTAGGCCACTTTTGGAATACTGCATGCAATTCTGGACTCCCTGCTTTAGGAAGGATATTGTGAAACTTGAAAGGGTTTAGCAAAGACGTACAAGGATGTTGTCAGGGTTGGAGGGTTTGATCTATGAGGAGAGGCTGAATAGACTGGGGCTATTTTCCCTGGAGCATCAGAGGCTGAGGAGCGACCTTATAGAAATTTGTAAAATCATGAGGGCCATGGATACGATAAATAGGCAAGGTCTTTTCTTCAGGATTGGCGAGTCCAAAATTAGAGGGGAAAGATTTTAAAGGGACCTAAGGGGCAACTTTTTCTCGCAGGGGGTGGTGCGTGTACGGAATGAGCTGCCAGAGCAAGTGGTGGAGGCTGGTGCAGTTACAACATTTAAAAGGCATCTGGATGAATAGGAAGGGTTTAGATGGATATGGGCCAAATGCTGGCAAATAGGACTAGATTTATTTAGGCATGAATGAGTTAGACCGAAGGGTCTGTTACAATGCTGTATATCTCTATGATTCTATGACTCTAAAAGCCAAAAGATTCAAATAGTATACATCCCAGCAAGTTGAAAGAATTTAACATGCAGAAAAATGAGATATTAACAATTCAATTCAAACCTTTGAAATTGGGAATTGTGCCAAAAACCTGGAGAGTGGCAAATGCTAATAAAGAGACAATAAAATCAACAAGGGCTATCTTGGCTAATGCCTGCAGAGAGCAAAGTTCCAAGCTACATCTGTCTGTTGCTATCTTTACATGTTAGAGTCCCCGATAGCATGATACTTATGGCATCCTTGCATTAGATGTCACAGTTCCATGCCTGTGCCAACCCAAGCCTTAAGAACTCCGTTCTCCATACAAAATTACCATTTGAGCGCGTCTCCTATTATAATTTTAAAACATCCTGTATAATTATTACTGTGCTGCAATTACATTGATCCACCACTGATGGCACTAGCATTTCACTATTGTGCCTCAGCTCCTCAATCTGTACTTGGAAACATATGAGGCAGGAATTGGCCATTTAATCTTTCGAGCCTATTGTACCATTCAGTAAAATTGTGGCCGATATGTCAGCTAATTTCTTAAACGACCTTTGTCTCCGAATTCCTTAATAACTAGTTAACAAATTTCTATTAATCGCAGATTTAAAATTAACAATAGACTTAGCGTCTATTGTGGTATTGTGACATACACTTTAAGGAGGCGTATCTTAAAAAGTACTGTCAATCATTACCTACTCTGACAGGATGAAATACATGGATCTCATGACTTATTAAGCAAATTGAAGCAGTGGCGATGGCACATTATACTTAGCTCCTAGAGCACATTACATGTTTATAGTTTTCTTTCAGATCAAGAATACGCATTACTGTTTCACCAATCCTTTCATGCAAACATGTTTCATCTTAGAAAAGACTGTGATGGCCTCAGTTGCCACTTGTGGAAGACAGTTCCAAGTCTCACCACCCTATGTGTAGAGAATCACTTCTTAATTTTACATCTGTGAGGTTTGGCTTTAGTTCTTAACCATGCCCCCATTTCTACACTGTCAAATGAGTGTAGTTAGTTTACTTCTATCTAACCTATCCGCAAAGAAATTTGGATTCAGATACTGACACTTCTGCTTCCAGCCAGAATGGAGATGATTGGGTAATCCCTCCATCAGTCACTTCTGGAGACTGTAATGCTGTTAAGTGACTAAGATTGATTCTACACACACAATTTGGGTTATGTAACTCTCCTACACAAGCTGCTGGTTTCTGGAAAAATCACATGTTTTGATCACAAAAAGTTTCTGTGGTATTGACCATGCACAAGTTTTATTTGCTGCGGTCTCTGGAAACACTTTTTAAAACTGTTTGCTGAATAAATAAACTTGCTGTAGAAACTGTTCTGAATATTGCAGTGTCTCCAACTCATTGACTGATGGCAGTGATAGTAGAGATTCCAGTAAAATTCCACATTATTCCATTGATTCTTTGCCAAATTGTTATTTTTAAAAAAAATTACTGGTAAACTATGAAGTAAAATAATTAATAAAATTAATAACTCAGTAATTAATATTAATAATAAAATCTTCAACATGAACAAAGAACAACTGTATATTTGGCATGTATCATATAGCCTATTCCTGCATGTATTTCATGTTTCTGATCTCATCCCCTTTAATTCTACTTCAACTCGATTAATCATGGCAGCATGATTTTTGATTTAAACTGTGTACCAAATTAATCCATTATAAATTAGTATGACAATACTTTTCAGTTTTGTCAAACAACAATCATTTAAAAGTATTTTGCAAACAACCAGAGAAAAGTTAGAACACAGAAATCAGCGATTCATTCCATCATATCTGTGCTCGCTGACTAACCTAGCAGCAAATTCTAAGCCCATTTAACAGAACCCGATTTGTAGCCTTGCAGGTTACACAGATCCATGTACCTTTTAAATGAGTTGAGTGTATCTGCTTCAACAGCGGTGAATTCCAGACACCTGTCACTCTATGGGTGAAAATGCTTTTCCTTATGTCACCTCTAATCCTTGTATCAATCGCCATAAATCTATGTCCCCCACTGATTGACTTCTCCAATAGGGGAAACAGGTTCTCCCTGCCCACTCTATTCAAGCCCCTCATTATTTTACACACAGTGATTGAGCCGCCTCCTCAGCAGTCTCTGTTCTAAGGAAAACAGCACTAACCTATCCAATCTCTTAGCATCCTGCAACTTTGAAGCCCTGGCAATATTCTTCTCAAACACCTCTGTACTTTCTCAAGAGCAATGATATTCTTCCTGCATTCACTTTTCTTTAATTACAATTTTAAGATTTTAAACACACTGAATTTACCATCTGATAGAATTATTCTGAACAAAAAATGCTGGAAATCACAGCGGGTCAGGCAGCATCCGTGGAGAGAGAGCAAGCTAACGTTTCAAGGCTAGATGACTCTTCATCAGAGCTTGACCTTGATTTTCAGCATTTTTTATTAAGTACAGATTCCAGAATCTGCAGTAATTTGCTCCCAAACCTGAATTGATCCTGTGTTTTTTTACTTAAGTGTCTTCCTGTTTTCGAAAACAACCTGATCTTGTTACTTTTGTCAGAATGATATACCCATATTTACTGAACACCTGCATTCTTAGAATGTACAAATAGCTTTCCAGAATGCACTTATGCAAACATATTAGTATGTTTCATTCTGTATCTAAAGGTTTACTTAGATTTTGAAAATTAATTGAAGAAAAGCCAGAGGATGCATCTCAAATATATTATTTAGATAAAATTTATATCGTGATCTTTTAAACAGAGAGATATGTGAATAAGTATGGAGAAATTTTTTCTTCATTCATTCACAGGGCAAGGGCATTGCTGGCCAGGCAGCATTTGTTGCCCATCAGACAGTTAAGAGTCAACCACATTGCTTTGGGTCTGGAGTCACATGTAGGCCAGACCAAGTAAGGATGGCAGTATCCTTCCCTAAAGGACATTAGTGAACCAGACAGGGTTTTCCCCAACAATCAACAATGGATTCATAGCATTCATTAGACCTTTAATTCTA